AAGCAGCCATTGCGCTTTGTCATTGCTGGGGCTAAAGAAAAATGAGGACCAAGAAACCTCCTGGTTTAGATAAATCTCAGATGCCACCTTTGGAAAAATTGAGGAACTGCCCAAAGAACAACTTTATTCTGAAGGAGCATTAGAAATGCCCCATAAAGCAAACCCAAAACCAGTCCATAAAATGCCATCACCTAAACAAAATGCAATAATAAGGCATCATAACAGTCAAATAACGTCCTGTTGTACTCTAAAACGATGAAATTAGCCATCAAAGCATGACCAAATAAAAGCAAATACATAAAACGACTAAGTATCTTTTCTTTCTTTGAAAAAAAAAAAAACTCTTTCTCTACAAAACTCTTGTTCACATTCAAATTACTAAGCGAACTGCCAATTTGGCTACATCTACAATATTATAGTAAATATCAAACTAGAAAGTAAAATATTTGGTTAATCATCTTATATTTTCTATTTGTGATGCTGAGTACCTGTTAAGTACATTTTTACAACATTTATAGACAGTGAAGAAAAAAATCTTAACTTTCATCAGATTGTTTAAGTTATATAGCCATGGTAGGAAACTTTTTCCAAGTTAACAAAATATGCTCCAATCAAAACAAATATACTGCAAACCAAATGACTTATTCTCTTTTTTCCCCCTCATTCTCTCCCACATAAGATTTTTAAGCAAATCATTAACCATAAGCAATATTCAATAGTTAAGATACATTTGGTTCTTTAGTCATCTGTTTCACAGAATCTTGTTCATTTAAAAAACCAATTCCTTTGATAAAGATTGATTAACTTGGATACACTGGATAAAATATTTAAGATAGTTCTTAAAAATTTTCCTCAAGATATTCTTTTCAGAGTAACATTTACATAAACTTGTGTCAGATTAAATCAATCTTGGCTTTATCACAAAAAAATAGAAATTTAAATATAGAAGAATACACATCCCACAAGAAGGTGTTCTAGTCCTCAGTCATTTTTTAAAAAGATTTTTATTTGTTTTTATTAGTTATACATGGTAGCATAACATATTTTGACATACATATATGGAGTATAACTTCTCATTCTTCTGGTTGTACATGATGTAGAATTACACTGTTTGTGTAATCATATATGCACATAGGATAGTAACGTCTGATTTATTCTACTATCTTTCCTATTCCCATTCCCCCTCCCTTCCCTTCATTCCCCTTGGTCTAATTCAAAGTACTTCTATTCTTCCTCAGTTGATTCTTATGCCTACTGTTCAAAATTCCTTCTGTATACTATGTTTGATAATCAACAAGTATGTTTGTATAGTACACTATCATTAATGTGATGTTGAAGTTGCTGTTATCTGTCATACTGCTTTTATGATGACAAATTTGGGGTAAGACAGTACATTATGGCATAATTATATATATTCTTTGTGAATTTTATTCAAAAATGGTTACTATTGCTCTCAGATATTCAGAATTTGCAAGTCTCTACATTGCTTGATAGCTGAATGAGCCTTTTCTTTTTCTCCTTTTTCTCTGATATCAACATGTTAATTTTTTCTTCAATTCTTATAACTTCATTTTTTTTACTTATTTTTTTTATGTGGTGCTGAGGATTGAACCCAGTGCCTCACCCGTGCTGGGCAAGCTCTCTACCACTGAGCCACAGCCTGGCCCCCTTTCTTCAATTCTTAACCATGTCATTTTATATCTTTAAATACTTATAACACACAACTTCAACTTTGAATTTTTGCTACCGTTAAAAATAATAAAGTTCTCAGAAATGACACAAATTCTCAAGGGCCTGATCTAGTACCAAATCAAGATGATTCTCAATTGGTAGGTGCCTGTATGTTTTGGAGTTCATTCTATTTTTTAATGTACACTTCATAAGAGATCAACTAGGGAGGTGGATGAGAGGTGCTTAATCTTAGCCAGGCATGATGAAATGACTACCAACAACAAATGTCAACTGTTCAAGGCACCAATATGTCAATTAAATATTTTTCATTCTCTTTTTAACAGAAATTCATATTTCTTTTCTTATAGTTTTATTTTTTTTGTCAGTTTCACAAATCTATAATCAACCTCTATTTTTCTTAAAATTAGCTCCATATTTGGAAAAGTGGTCACTACAATTTGAATATGGTTTGAGTCTATTCTGCAAGGATTCATGTGTTGAAAAGTTAGTCCTTAGTGTGGTAGTGTGAAGATGATGGGATCTACAAGAGATGCAGACTAGTGGGGAGTTGTTGGAGTATTCACCCTGGATGGAATCAAGGTACTTATCATGGAACTGTTAGTTTTTGTGAGAAGGTTTTTATAAAAAGATCAAGCCTGGATCTTCCTTTCTGGCTTTCTGTCTGGCCATATGATCTCTTCCTTTTGCTTGTGCTCTTGCCAGTGTGATGCCATCTGCTATGTGGCAGTACAGTTAGGAGAGCCCTCACCAAAGCCAGCACCATACCTTTTGGACTTTCAGTCTTACAATACTGTGTGCTAAATAACCTCCTTTGTTTATAAATTATCTAGGATCAGGTATTTCATTATAGTAAGAAAAAGTACTAACAGTGATTTGCATTGTTTTATTATAATAGTGCTACCTAAACTTAACCTGAAACACAGAAAGCCAGGAAACAACTTAATGTAAAACAAATGTCAATCCTACAATTTTTCTAATGTTATTTACATAAGGCAAAGTACTTTAAAAGTACATTTAATTTGCTCCATATGTTTATATATGTAATTTCTTTATTAAAAAACTGGGCTTTGGGGTTGAAATTTTCAGATTATTTGTTAATCCCTGCTTCCCTCATTTTATTTTGCAGATGTAGTCATTCTCTCTTGAATAATATATGGCATCATATAACAGAGAGTTTTGTATGTTCCATTATGATAAAAATGAAATCTATAAATATAGACATGACAACAATCATTATTCCATCTTTGAATTCTACGTTTAATGTTAGAAACACTATTTCATAGTGCAGTTTTCTTCAAAGGGATTTTGTTAAGACTAACTGAACCTGAAACAACATATTATGTAATTACTATTTTCAATAACTCACATTTATTACTTTTATTGCTTGCTTATGATATGCTAGACATTTCTTTAAGTACTTCATTCACTAAGTCATTTAATCCTCACAACTCTTTATAACATTTTGGAATCTGATGCGTCTAATTCTAAAAGAGAATGAAAATTCTAATAGAAACTAAAGGAACTCCTCCATGATTATTTTGAAGATGAGAAAACTGAGGTCAAAGAGACTAAACGTTTTACTCAAGATCATCTGCCTGGGCTGGGGCTGTAGCTCAGTGACAGAGTGCCTAGCATGTGTGAGTCTCTGGGTCTGTTCCTTAGCACCACATAAAAATAAACAAATGGGATGGATTCAAACTAAAAAGGCTCTTCTAAGCAAAAGAAACAATCAGTGAGGTAAAAAGAGAGCCTACATTTTGGGAGCAAATTTTTACCACACGCACATCAGAGCACTAATCTTGACGATATATAAAGAACTCAAAAATCTTAATATAAGAAAAAACTAATAACCCAATTAATAAATGGGCCAAGGAATTGAACAGACACTTCTCAGAAGATGATACACAAATCAACAACAAATACATGAAAAAATGTTCAACATCTCTAGCAATTGGAGAAATGCAAATCAAAACTACTCTAAGATTTTATCTCACTCCAGTCAGAATGGCAGCTATTAAGAATACAAACAACAATAAGTGCTGGTGAGGATGTGGGGAAAAAGGCACACTCATACATTGCTGGTAGGGCCACAAGTTCGTGCAGCCAGTATGGAAAGCAGTTCAGAGAACCCTTGGAAAAGTGGAATTGGAACAAGCATTTGACCCAGCTATCCAGCTCCTCAGCCTATACACAAAGGATTTAAAAGCAGCATACTACAGGGACACAGCCACATCAATGTTTATTTCAGCACAATTCACAATAGCTAAATTGTGGAACCAACCTAGATGCCCTTCATTAGATGAATGGATAAAGAAAATGTGGTATATATACATAATGGAATATTATTCAGCATTAGAAGAGAATAAAATCATGGCATTTGTAGGTAAATGGATGAAGCTGGAGACTATAATGCAAAGTGAAATTAGCCAATCCCAAAACACCAAATGCCAAATGATTTCTCAGATTTAAGGATGCTAATCCATAATATGCTGTGGGGGGAAGGGAGAGATGGGAGGATTAAATGAACTCTAGATAGGGCAAAGGGGAAGGAGGGGAAGGGAGAGAACATGGGGTTAGGAAAGATGGTGAAATGAGATGAACATCATTACCCTAAGTACATATATGAAGACACAAATGGTGTGACACTACATGTGCCCAATCAGAAATATGAAAAATCGTGCTCTATATGTGTAATATGAATTGTAATACATTCTGCTGTCATATATAACAAATTGAAATAAAAAATAAAGAAATAATGGATTTCATAAACACTAAAAATATATAATTAAGCATACTTGTCTACTAGCAATGTGAAAAGATATTCTTTAGACAAAAAAAATGTATTATATCAAACTGAACTTTGGACCTACACAAAGAAATTATGAATGCTGAAAGTGGAATAAATGAATAAAATTGGGGGAAGAAAAACAAAATAAAGCATGCTGTCCATCTACAATTACAAAAAGAATTTTTTTTTAAAAAAAAGATCATCTGGCTGCTAGCGGCAGAAAAGGAGACACTGCATTACCCAGTATGCTTATTTTTTCCATAGACCAGGCTGTGTATTTTTTGGGAAAAAAAATCAATCTGATTTTAACTGTAGACAATTATCCAGACTCAACTTTGCTAATTTGAACTAAGGAATCTGCCAAGTACAAAAGATAAAAATAAAATCCATGGTGTGCACTATACTGAATGTTTATCTCAAGAATTTTACCGTGTATTTTTTCCAAGTGATGGTACAGATTCAAAGTGGCAGGAAGCAAAAACAGAGAGAAATTGTAGATTTAAGCAAAACAGTATATTACCTGAAGTATTCCTGGGCATCTTAAGCAATAAAAACATTTCTTCAAACAGCTCTTGAACATCATTTTCCAGCTTCAAAAAAGATTTTATGAGTTGTGATAAGAATTTGAGTTCATCAAAGGAAAGGAAAATGTTTCTTCCTGTCCGTGGGCATTCAGGTGTAACTGTATGAAGAGAAGATCAATACTGTTGAACATTTTGTTTGTTTTCTCAGTAAATATTAGAACAATCTATATGGCATCATAAACCATCCAAACTAACAAAACACTCCATAAGTGAAACAAATTTGTTCATTAAGAAACACATAGAAAATCTCCTAGGAAAGTCTTTTCTTCTTGGAAGTTGGACATAAATATTCTGCTTGATGCAAATATGGCAAATAATTAATTAGGTTCATTCTTAGAGTTATAAATAGGGATGTGATGTGTTGTTCTGAAATCTTATACAATCTTATGTTTTAAAGTCTAGCACAACTTGAATATAATCATGAGGAAACATCAGACAAACTCAAATTGAGGGACATTCTACAAAATAGCAGATATGTTCTTTTGGAGTGTAGGGTCAGGAAACAAAAAGAAGAGGCATTAATAAGGGATTCTTTAAATTATATTCTAGTCTAAATAAGCCTAAAAGATATGAAAACTAAGTCAATACATGATCAACATTTTAGTTTGCAGTAAAGGACATTATTGGGGTTTTTTGGTGAAATTTGAGCAAATCTATAATCCAAAGCTATTATTGCATGACTGTTAATATTCTGATTTAACCAACTGTACTATTATGAAAGAGAATACTCTTTAATAATGTTTGTAACTTACTCTCACTTCAGAAAAAAAAGTTTTGAGAAGAGAAAAGAAATGTAGAATTGTGATAAACTGCAAAATATTAACATTTGATAAATATGAGTATGAAAGAAATTTTGGAATTCTTCATATTATTCTGGCAACTTCTTTTGTAAGACTGAAATTAAAATAAAAGCTTTAAAAAAAGACCAGATGAGGATATATCACTCTTCAAGATCTTATACATGTTATTTCTATATCATTAAAAAGAAATAAACTAATTCAGCAAGAGAATATAGACTATATAGTTTATGAAATCATGTTTAAAAATAACACCTGTCTAAATAATTGTGGTGTCTCTTGCTTGCCTAAGAACAATATAACTAAAAATAAATGAAGATTGATTTTTCTTTTTATAATTATGTTACTAGTCAAGTCTTACTACCACTTTATTATTATAGAGAACACCTTATACTCTAAGAGTTTGGAAACAGTTCATTTATTACATCACTCAAGATAAATTTGTTTTCATTTTAGGTTGACATCATCACATGACACTTTTGATCATGTTCTCAGGGATTTAAAGAATCCCTTATTAATGCCACTTCTTTTTTAAAATATTTTTTAGTTGTTGATGGACCCTTATTTATTTATTTACATGTGGTGCTGAGAATTGAACCCAGTGCTTCACATATACTAGGTAAGTGCTCTACCACTGAGCTACAACTCCAGTCCCTTAATGCTATTTCTTAAAATATATATTTAAGGATTATCTTGAGGAAAAATTATAAATTGGAAAAATTTGTAAACACTGATGAAGTAAGCATTAAGAGAAAATATTAAAGAATGCTCTTCAGAAATTATGTAGGAGTCAGTCTGGTGGTTACAAATCAAAAAACAAAAAAGATTACTTTCCTCACATGGATTTAGAAGTTTCCAGAAATGTGATTATTTTATAGATAATCCACTTCACTTTAGTCAATCTTTAAAATATTGGGATCAAACTTATAGTCATATTATGGTCTTTCACTAAGAACAAAAAAATGTCATGATGTCTGTGCATGTACATGAGAAAGATATCTACTAACTTCAACTATGGAATTTAGTTTTGTTCTTAAAAAATACAAAAAAAAAATTTTGAAATCTACAAATACCTACAAAAACTCCATTTTATCTCTACATTGACCTCAGTCCCATATACATTAAAACCTACCTCTAAATAGCCCTAATTACATTTAGCATTCTTTAAGAATTCCAGAATTCAGAAGATACACAAGGAGCATACATAACTAAAATTTGCTGGACATATCATGCATCAAAAAAGAAAAAGAAAAAAAAATACATAAATCATGTTCTATTTAGTCATTGCTTGATTTGCATTTGGCTAATTTGATTTCTTTTCATCTTTAATCATGGAAATAAGAGGCTAGTTTAACCTTCTAAATTGTTAAGTTCCTTTTGAATTTAATATATTTTTGAAACAAATTTTCAAAGATGTTAAGAATCTTTCTCAATTCTTTATCAGGAAAGGCCATTCAATGGTGTGAATAAAAATTAACCATATTTAACAAGGCTTTACTTGGTTGAATTCTAAATTGGAATAATTATAAATATTTACAGAATAAGCGAAGAAACATCCTAAGAAAAATCTTTAAGGGTCAAAACACTACAACCTGGGGTCTGGGGATATAACTCAGTTGGTTGAGTGCTTGCCTTACATGCAGAAAGCCCTGGTTCAATCCCTGGCACCACAAAAACAAACAAACAAACAAACAAACAAACAAAGCACTTGTTTAAAATTATGTAGGAATTAAGGATTCTACACGAAGAGGTGTTATGTTTATGATCCAGAGTTAGAAAGACTTTATTTCAGACAAATCACAATATTGAAAAGCAAATCCATTTTAATTCAACAAATCTTTAGAACTTAATAATGAAAGAGGACAGAATAATATGTATGACCTAAATCTAATCATTTTTGTCCCAAAGAAGCAATGATTATGGTGGAGCCCCATTAATTAGTAGTCCTTATTTCCTATCATTATTAGCTCAGTGTTCTCCCAAGAGTATTGTGAGGGTTCTTAATTTATGGGGAAAATACTTCTGTGATAAATTCATTTTGTGAAAGGCCAATTAAAGCAAAATTAAACACAAAGGATGGAATTGCATTTCCCAAACTTATTTGACTTATTTCCCCCACTGTTATCTCACAGGACTAGTGTCCTAATCATCGCACTTAGTTCATGATTTCTATGTACGGAAACATATCTAGTTTTCTGTCCCTGAGATTCTTCACTGCTAGCTAAATTAGGAAAGGATTTCTCCCAGCAGAAATTTCCTTTCTTTAAAGTAATCTCTTTTCCTTTTCTTTGAATATGATTTCTGTTTGTTCCTCTCCTCCAGATCACCTCTCCAGAAAACTTCATCTGGATATAATCAATTGATCCAGAGAGCCTCTTTCTTCATCTATGTCAATCTGATCTTTATTTATTCATTCATTAAATTATTATTTAAATAACTATGGAACTGCTTTGCTTTCAAGAAGACTTGGACATACATGTTTATACACACAATCTTTGGCCTGCCACCAATGATTGCTATAAAATATCTGAAATAATGACTGATGACTGTTGATTATTGTATAAATGAGCTCTAATTTTTTTTTAGTTGTAGATGAACAGCTTTATTTTATTTATTTTTATGTGATGCTGAGGATTGAACCTAGCACCTCACATGTACTAGGCAAGAACTCTACTACAGAGCTATAACCCCAATCTCTGATTCTTAGGAAATATAAATTTCACCTAAATCTTAATAATATTATAAAGAAAAAATTTCCATTTTAGGGCAAGACTTCCTTTAGTTTACCATCAACTAGTAATAAGTAAGTCTATGTAAATAATAACTAAATAATTTTTTTCTTCCATAATTTTAATTTAAAATTTTCTAAAATGCAGTCCAAACTTCTCTGCCTTCCTATTTTTCAGACTATTTAGAGAACATTTTAAATTTTACTTCACAACAGGCTTATGATGAAAGTTACTTCTATGTTGCATACAAAGAGTAATGTTTGTTCCTCTGTTAAAGGGTATTTTCAAACTGATAACCATTTGAAAAAGGTTATATGATCAAATAAGCTTGGGAAATCCTACATACTACATTGTATTAAGGTGATTCATAATGCAAATTAGCATATTAAAGTTTCTGTTTGCTTCTATAATAAAGTAAAAAAAATAGAACAATGTTTCTCAAATTTTCCACCCGTGAACCCCAGTTTCCCAACACACCAATTCATTTGTGAGATTTTCTTAAAAACAACTGTTCAGGTGATCACTGTGCAACCTGAGTATTTATATCTGTTTTTCTTTTCATTGTTAGACTTTCCCATGTGGATTCTTGAGGCTGGTTGTGTGACTGATTTTACTAGTATTCTCTTTCACTTGTAAACTGTTGCTCCTAATATCATCATGGTGTTTTTTGCAGACCCTTTAAAGACATTAATGAAAAGTCTCCTAAATCCACTTATTGGAAAATCTCCATGTAGGCACAGTTTGAGGGCTAAAACCTAGCTTTCTAAAAATCCACTGATGCTCTCAAAGGACAGTAAAGTCCAGGATCTCCTGGATTACTAAAAATGCAAATCCCAGGATCACCTCCAGATCTCATGAATCAGCATCTCTGTGCAATCAGCCCCACAAATATTCCTTTTAAGTTAACTTCCCAAGTGAGTTTTTTTGCACACTAAAGTTTGAGACCACTGCCTGAGGGGTCCATGAGCTCTAGTTACAATACTTTTGGTTAAAAATCACCCATTAGGCATCAGAAAATCTGGATTCTGATATTAGAAAGTCAACCAAAAAGGTACTAGTGTGTTAAACACGGATGACTTTTTTTTTTTTTTTTTTCTGTGATGCTTCCTGGGGATTGAGCCCAGGGCTTCATATAAACTAGGCAAGTGCTTTAGCAATGAACTAGACCCCCCAGGCCTTTATAGGCTTTATTTTGAGACAGGGTCTCCTAAGTTGCCCAGGCTGGCCTCAAATTTGGAAAGAAATATGGATAATCTGTAGGAAATTTTAAAGAGCACATTGTATAGACTTTCCCTAGGCAAAAGAAAAACTGCTATTAGGGAAAAAAAAAAAAGACTAAAGACTAGTTGAAGTTCATTTGTCACAAACATAAAATGATTTCCATAATGTCAAAGACTAAGCCCAGTTTATTCATTTTCAGCATCTCTGAATCAAGCATAATCTTTTATATAAAGTAGAACTAAAAAACATCTAGTAAAAAAAACAAAACAATTGAAATTTCATGGGCCCTAGAAATAGCTAGGTTTGGCCCAAAACACATATTTTATACCTAATTCCAAAATGTATTCTTCA